TCCACATCATCAAACGCACTCCACGACAACGTCTTGTCATTGTTCGACAAGCCCTTCACCTCGCTGTCATGACGCAGCCAATGATTCGCCGCCAAGCGGCCCGTCTGGTCCCGGCGCATCACAAATCGCACGCGGCCACTCTGCCCATCGCGCAGAATCTTCGCGTCGCCGACCCCGCGCTCCTTCCAGTTCATGCCCTCGTTCGTCTTGCCCCAGCGGAACAGCTTGGCGCGGTGCGTAAACACCTCCTCGTCATTCTCCTCGCCAGTCACCTGTTCCACCTCCGACGCGTCCGGAAGCTGTACAACAGGCTTGAACTCGAGTCCCGGCATCTCCGCCTCGGGATCCTCCGCCGCAGCACTCGCGCCATCCTTGCTGTCAGCAGCAGTCGACGCGCCATCGCCGCCCTTGCTACCGAATAGTGGGCTCGGAACCTTGCCAAAGCTCAGGCCCCCGGCGTCACCGCCGCCGCTCTTGTTGCCCCAGCCAGAGCTGGTGCCGCTCTGCTTGGCCAGCGAACCAAAGCCGCCAAAGCCGCTAGAAGCACCAAAGCCTCCAAAACCACTCACACCGCTCGGCACCGCCTTGCTCGAGGTTGGACTGTCACCGCCCGAAGCAGCACTCGCGCCCGCGCCGTCATCCACAGCACCGGCGCCTTCGTCCTCGCCCTCGTCCGCTTCATCCGCCTCATCGGCAGCGGCCTTCTTCTGGTCAGACACACCAAACGCAGCACCCTGTGCGCTGCCAAAACTGAACCCAGCAAAACCAGACGTGCCCCCTTGCTGCTTCGTCTCAGCACTCAGGGCCGCCAGGCTCTTGCCACCGTTGCCAAAGCCACCCGCACTGGCACCCGCACTGGCACCGCTCGCACTCACGCCCGCACTGGTGCCGCTTGCCTTGGCAGCGTCAGACCCCTCTGACACAACAGCCGCATCCTGTGGGGCCTTTGACAACGCCTCCTTCAGCGCAGTCTCAAACTCCTCCCGGATCTCCGCAGTCTTAAACCGGATGCAAAACGAGTGGATTCGCTTCTCCGCCTCCTCGTCGTCCACATCATCAAACGCACTCCACGACAACGTCTTGTCATTGTTCGACAAGCCCTTCACCTCGCTGTCATGACGCAGCCAATGATTCGCCGCCAAGCGGCCCGTCTGGTCCCGGCGCATCACAAATCGCACGCGGCCACTCTGCCCATCGCGCAGAATCTTCGCGTCGCCGACCCCGCGCTCCTTCCAGTTCATGCCCTCGTTCGTCTTGCCCCAGCGGAACAGCTTGGCGCGGTGCGTAAACACCTCCTCGTCATTCTCCTCGCCAGTCACCTGTTCCACCTCCGACGCGTCCGGAAGCTGTACAACAGGCTTGAACTCGAGTCCCGGCATCTCCGCCTCGGGATCCTCCGCCGCAGCACTCGCGCCATCCTTGCTGTCAGCAGCAGTCGACGCGCCATCGCCGCCCTTGCTACCGAATAGTGGGCTCGGAACCTTGCCAAAGCTCAGGCCCCCGGCGTCACCGCCGCCGCTCTTGTTGCCCCAGCCAGAGCTGGTGCCGCTCTGCTTGGCCAGCGAACCAAAGCCGCCAAAGCCGCTAGAAGCACCAAAGCCTCCAAAACCACTCACACCGCTCGGCACCGCCTTGCTCGAGGTTGGACTGTCACCGCCCGAAGCAGCACTCGCGCCCGCGCCGTCATCCACAGAACCGGCGCCTTCGTCCTCGCCCTCGTCCGCTT